CTGCTCAGGGGGTCTGGATCTAGAAAGTGTTTCTTACAGTTGATTTGTCAGTCTTTGCTGATTATTTCCTTGATGCTGTCTGAGCAAGGTTAAGATCTCAGAGGGCTTGTGTGGATTTGCCACCTGGAAAGCAACTTGAGCTAGCATTGGTTGTCACAGATGAAAGTGAAGTATGAGAAAAAGGCAGAGGACAATAAAACCACAGCAGCAACTGTCTTCATTCAATGTTCATGGGAGCTTTCCCAGCCTTGGGTCATCCTGCAGGGGTATTCACTTATGCCCCTTCTGCATGGGATTGCAGGGTAGAACTCTCTTTGGTCTAGACGGGTGGGGAAGCTATGATGTGAAACTGGACACTTGCTGTGCCACAATGCCTTGCTATTAACACCGATATTGACAAGTACATTTTGGCCTGCAAAGAGGTGATGACTGTCTCAGTTCTTCCCTATGCCATTTCTGCACCCAGGATAATTCCATCTGAATTTTTTCAGTGCTCTCCATCATCCAGAGAGAAACCTTACAGAGCCACAGTGCAGACCCTGGACTTTTACATGGTCCAGTCTAACTCACAGGAGTATAAACCCACAAAAACAGCATAAGAAACATCTACACTTTACTTCAAAGGTGACTTGACCAAAGATGTCTCTGCAATCCATTTCTCCAGAGGGCCATAAAAATCATGGTGAATGGTATTCGTGTGTTTTCTGGTCTTAACACCAGTTGACCTACAAGTACAAAACAAAATCAACCAAAGAGTTATTTGCAGGGCACTTTGCTTTGTAAATCGTTGCCCAAATTATAAAGCATCAGTTCCAAGGGAGAGAGATGGTCTGACTCCCCCTTAGCTGGCCTTTCCCTCTGTCCTGCTACAATAATGCTCAGCTAGGTGGGTAGGTATATGGGGTGGAAGTGAGTTTTCTGGCCATGTCCCTCATTTCTAAACAATGCAAATAAAATACAATGTCAAATGCAGGTACATTTTACAGGATAAAAGTACATAATTTGACCCACACATGATAAAATACTAGAGTAGAGCAGCTCATAAATTCCCTTCATCATAGAATTTAAAATAAAAACCATTAAGCAGGAGGAAAGAATATTACAGGAGGGGAACAAAATAGTCTGTTTGGGCAATGTGGAGGTGGCTACAGCCCTGGTCTGTTGGTAGGGTCAGGGAGGCTGCGGCTGAATCCTGTCATGAGAGACGTGCTGCACTGGTTGGAGCTGGGAGCGAAGTCCTCGCACCTCTCCCTGCACTTGCAGTGTACGTGCACAAGCATTTGCAAACTTGGCAAAAGATTGTGGGAGCTGGAGATTTTCAGCAAACTTGCAGAACTGGGGATCAGGGAGGAGTGAAGGGGTGATAGCAGCAATTAATTGGTAGAAGGGGATGGACAGAGAAATTGGCAGTAGCTCGCAGGCAAAGATACACCAGATAGCCAGGGAGAAGAATACCAGCAGAAAGGGAGGGAATGGAGTTAGCAGAGGTGCAGAACGGGGCTGGAAAGCTTTTGTAAGCTTTCAGCAAGTCTCTCAACATTTTTCCACTCTACTGTAATTAATTTTGCTGCTAGTTTGGGTTGGTTTATGTGTGGTGGATGTAAATAAGACCAGTGGGTTGCTAAGGTCTGTATGAAATGCAAAACCAAATGTGTTGTTCGTAACAAATAACTACTCTGGCTTGTGTCTGTGGAACTGATGCTGTTGTACACAGTCAGACATGAGGATCTTGATCCTGCCAATGCTTATAAGCATTAGCATCTTAATGTATGCTCCTAACTTCCTTTGAACATATATACCTATGTGTTTGAAGTGTCAGGGCTTACACCTGGCTATGATTTCTACAAAGAACTCATTGAAAGATGAAAAAATAAAACCAGTCAACCTTAATTTGCTAAGAACACTCCAAAATAGACCAGGATTCTGAGAAAAAAGTGCTGTAATGAGACCGTAACATTATTTCTTGTTTGTTCAAAAGTACCTTGTGTTTCACAGCTTTTTGTTTTTCTGTTTCTAATTTGGTTTTACCCACTGTTGGAGGACTGAAAGGCAGAAAGTCCCCACCCAGCAGAGAAAGTCTTACAAGAATGAAAAGAGGAAGACCTGTTTTGCAACCGGGGTGGTTTCCCCCTGGGACGTGCTTGATGGTGAATAGGCAGAGTAGCATTTTTATTGTAGGTTAAAACTTAGGAAAACTTGTATTTCATTTGCCTGTGAGCACACTTCGCAAGTATGTACCAGGGAAGGAAGGAGGACTAGATGAGACACGGTACATGTTGGGGTCTCACTTGAATATATTATCTGAATATGGCCAGCTGCCATGCCCCCTCCAGGGACTCCTTCCAGTTTCCAAAGTCAAGATGAGGCCAGTGGAAACCAGAGCTGCCCAGCACCCTGGAAGGTCAGGATCTTTAACTGTAAGACTAACTATGATATTGGTGAATTAATTAACTGCTTATTTCAGATGACTGCATATGGGAAGACAGCAAAAGTACCTAAGGGAAGGAAAACATGCCAAGCTGAGGCCATAAGTGAGACCAACTTTTCTCTTCAGTCACTTTGAACGGAACTCCTAATTGGTCCCATTAGTTGAAACAGTTATTTTAATAATCTTGCTATCAGCAGCACTTTTTTCATTTGAATAAGGAATCTGTAGAACTGGATGGAAGGACAGGTCAGATGTCAGTCCCTTTTGTAAACACAGATGCAGCATGAGTTCAACAGTGTGAGTCACACAGACTGCACTCCTGTCTCTGTTGACGGTATCAGGAGTGCTAAGAGATTCTTACCTCCCTTAGAGTCATCTCTAGAGATGAGGCAGAGCTAGGACCAAAAATTTGTGTTAAAGGACAGCCTTAATGGGAGAGCCACTCGTAGTGTTCAGATCCCACTGGAAGTGGGGGCGATTCTGGAGTGTGCCCAGAGACCCCAGTGAGTGTGGGCAGTGGCAGAGCTCTGCCAGAGCAAGCACAATAGTTCACTTCGGCACCCAGCAAATCAGGAGCTTAGTAAAGATGGGAGGAAGAGTTCTGCAGTGGCAGTTGTCCCTTGACAATGAAACATGGAGCTCCCTCAAGTCCTGCCTTCAACCACTCACTGCCATCCTCCTTGCACTGCTTCCCCACACTGTCTGCAGGAGCAAACTTGAGACATTCCTGTCTTTCGGAAAATGTTGCTGGTGCCACTGCAGCAGCGCCAGATAGTGTTGCCTAAACTGCTGAGTACCATGTGCAGTTTCCCAAACAAAGGTGAGAGGCCACCCTTTGTTTCTAGGGCAGGCCCTTTCGAGTCAGCAATTTGACAGCAAGAATATCAGTTTATTGTGAAAGTGACCCCTTCCCCTGCCCCCAGGAGAGAAAATCCCCAAATACACGGAAGGAGGAAGTTTTCAGGGAGAGGTCCAGCCGATAGGAATGGTCAGATGGCAAGCAATGGCATATGGCCACAAGAGGACTTGAGCTCACCTGTAGCTCGCTGCCCAGCCTTGTCCTCCAGGTAAATGAGGAGCACTGTCTGTCCTGCCTGGGAAGCTGTGGTGGTGTTGCAGCCACAACTGTCTTAAGAATTTAACTAAGGCATGGTCTTTATATCTAATGTAAGTGTTGTAAAAGATGTTTTATTAAGAAAAGGTCTGTGTCTAAGGTGGCTCATCAGTGAAACCACTGATTTGGGGAACTTGTATAGAGCAGACAAGTGTTTGGAGAAAGGGCTTTACTCCTTTACCACCCTAGAAGACAATAGCATTTACATAAAACAGTACTACTGACATACCTCTGTGCTTTGCTGAAGAGTAGGGGACTCAAGCTAGTTTGTTTCTTATGTCTGTATTTCAGTCATGTATCCTAGATTTTAAACACCTTCATATTCAGACCATGACTGATAAGGCATGGCTTGCTATTTTAGCAGAATTTAATATAACAAACCTTTGGAAGAAACTGACAAGCTCTCACCTGCTTATTCTTTTATATGTTTTAGGAAGACATTTACTTAAAAGCACAGAATTCTTTTTACTGAGTGTGAGGTGACAAAGAACCCCTGGTACAAGTGTGCAGCAGGTCCTTACAACTGGCTGAGTTAAGGAAAGATCCCTGGAATTTTAAGAACAAACATGACTGTTCAGAAAATTAATGGGTGAATTAAAATACACTCCTCCAAGACTCTTTACACGATAAATATGCTGTCTCCATTAAACCTCTTACAATTAATCTTTCTCCATTTTCTAACAATATAAAAGCCTGATCATATTTCTGTTAAAATCAAACACAAATATTTCAGTGCTCTCTGTATAGTATGAGAGCCTTACTATATTTCACTAGCAATATTTTTTATTCCACAGGATAACTTTCTTTTGCTTATGTTCTATCCTAATAGGTGTGTTTCAAACAGAATTATGTGGATTTAAATGTGGCCCTTCTGAGGGAAAGAACTGAAAGTTTCCCAGTTTTGCCAGAAAAGGGTCTTTCCCAGCATTTGTCAGAAACTGGTACTAATAAATAGGAATTGATACACTGGCCTTTTGAAGTAGCATGGAGTGCTTGGATAACGTTTAAAAATGGTGTGAAGGGACAATAGTCTAGCAAGTTGAGGTGTAAAATATGCTATATGTAACCAGATGGCTGTACAAGCTTGACTGAAATTGCAGGAGACACCACTTTCTTCTGTGACTGCAAGAACCTGTCAGCAAGGTCTCGTGCTGCGTAAGAGCTATCACAGGGCTTAGCTGCACAGTTTAGAGGTCACTGCAGGTGACTGGGCTGAACAGGAGACCCATGGTATACTAAACTGTGGCTTTTTCAAGGCTTTTTGCTCTTTTAAAACTTTTTCCCTATGCTGTTGATTTTAATGCCCTTTTTTTTTTTTTTTTTTTCCCCCCTCTGATGCTGGTATTAAAAGTTTTGTTTCTTTTTTTTTTTTTTTTTTCTTAAAGAACCTGTTACCTGTAGTGCACATACAGAAGTATTTGTGCTGGGTGTGGGTGTCTGTTTACAAAGTTACAGAAACTTTATTTGTAGCTATTACAGCTACTGCCCACATGATCATTGCTTTCTCAAACCTGTTTCACCATCAAAGAAGAACAGCTGAACAATAGGGCCAAAAGCACTGTATGCATTTAAGAATGCTTGAGAAAATATCCAGTAAATCATTAAGTGACAAGATTTTTCAGACTTGAAAATCAGAATTGGCGGTCTTGAAAACACATGTCTTCTTGGATCCCTGAACCATGAATTTGAAGATGTGAAACTGAGAGTGTTCGAAGCAGCCAAACAATGGCTCACATGCGGGGTGTGGGACTTGGTTTGACTCCATCCTCGTCATCCCCTGCAGTTGGGGTGGGGGTGGCACTCAGAAATCCAGGTGGTTCCTGCTTTCCTAAAGAGGAACGGCTGCTCTTCAGCTGCCTGCATTATCTCTTGGGCAAGACATTTACGTTTGTATTCAGAAACTTGAAAGATGCTGGTGTGCAAAGGAGATTTCCTCTTATAAAGAGCAATCTTTCCCCGTCACTCCCCCCCACCCCCCTCATTTCAGGGACTAGCTGCAGCCAGGATAAGCTGTCTCTTAATAGCAAGCATTATGCTAGAACGCTTTATTGTTTAATAGCATTAAGCTTTATCAGTGTGACTTGGCTCCCAAATGCATATGGCTGCCTAGACCCTCCAGCAGTCATTATGAATAATAGGAGGATAAAGGCAGTTAATTGAGGGAAATCCCCTCACACAGACAAAGAAAATAGATTTCTACTAAATTGCCAGCATGGGAGGGCAGTGCAAACTTCCCTAAGGTAAAACTTGACTCTTATTCTACCACAGTGCTGAAATATTTCCCAAGAAGCAAAGGGATTTGGGTTAGTGTAGCTGACATTAGAAGCTGGGCTGTCCTTCCCAGACTCCAAAAAGAAAGAGAGATCCAGTCTTTAGACTTGCATTGAATGACTCCAGCCTGCTTGGGAGTTAGAAATTTTCCTTGTTAAAAATGAAATGTACTCCTCGCGGGTCAGCTTCTGAGTTGCTGATGCTCTGCTTGTTGAGTGTGTCAGCTAGGCCTTCAGGTCCACAGAGAAAAACACCTATTCTGGAGCTGTTAGGAAAGTGAAAATACGGTCAGAAACTAGGTATGGAGCAGCTGGATGTTCTTCATGTAAATCAGTCTTATATTCTCTAGGTGCAACTTTTTTTCTCAATTACAGGAACTAAAGTAGAGCTGGATGTCTATCCTTTAAAACTTATAACCCCTTAAAATTTGCAAGGCACTTACTGCTGCTTCTAAAACAAACGGTGGACTAAATCTCAGCTCAGCAGAAGTCAGTGAAGACAGGTTTATTGACCTCAGTGGAATCAAGGAAGTAGAGCTTCAAAGAGTTTACAGCACAAATTCTTGAAAGGAACTGCTCTGTTTTTTTCTCCTACTAATTTTGGGTGCTCAGTTAAAGGTCATCAATATTCAGGTTTTGTTTTTTGAGGTAGAAGGTATTTTTGGAGGTATTTAGACATCACCTGATATTCTTATCTACTTCAACTGGAACAATGGGGTATGTTTTTCCTAGAACTTCTGCTAGTAATTAGACACTCCATGAAATACCTCAGTTAGAAAAACCCCACTCCTCAAACTTTATCAGCCAAAGGAATAAGACTGTGCTATTATAGTATTTAGATAGAGGAAGTCCACAGACACTATCAACTTGCAAGTTTACCCAGGATGCTTCCCCGCAATAGTTTTGAATTCATTTTCCCAGTTAGGTCTTCCATACAGGGTTTTCTGTTTAAGGCCTGTAATCACATCTTTCTCTTCCTCATGATGCATTACAAAGTGAGTGGCCTGTGGAAAATGAAATACAAAGGACAGCATAAAGACAGTTAGATATGGCAGCATTATGTCCTGTTAAAAAAAAAAAAAAAGTACACACTGAATTATTTCCAAATTGAGAATATGGAATTTATGGTGCTTAGCAAGGACAGCTAACATCAGTAAAGTCCTGACTATCAGTAAAGTCTCTTCCTTTTGCCCAGACTGGGTGATATCAAGAGTTAAAGCTTGAAGAATTGAAGACAGCAGTTAATTGCATTTCTTCTGCCGTGAACTGGTTTAGTCTAAGAACTGTAAAATAAAGCTGTAAATGAAAACAAAACTTCCCCTTCAGGTAGAATAATACAACTCCCTTGACCTTAATGAAGTCCTGCCAGTTTGATCTCTCACAGGTTTGATCCATATGAGGAAGTCTTGTCCACCCTCCCCATGTAACTTTTGCCTAGAAGAGCTAAGCTAAGTAAAGGCAGGAAGAAAAAATGTGGTTAAGAGCACGAGTTCAGGCCTTGCAGAGTTCTGCAGCACTTTTAGATGAGAAAAAAGTTACAGGTAACTTTCTCCCCAAGCAAAAATTGTGTGACTTTTCTTACTTCCCTCCTGTTTTTTCCCACTGCATGCGTGATGACTTCCTACCTTGCTCCTACACCTCCCTGTTTGTCTAGCTGAGCTACAGCACTTTAGGCACATGGTGAATTTTGCAATGGTGAGACATAAGTAAAATAAAACATCACTAAAAGTAGCAGAGTGGGCACCTTTCAGGACTCAACCATACATTTACAGGTGGCTCATGGAAGAGCTGCTCCTTTATAATCCCACAATGACCTATATGTGTGGGAGCAGATAGAGAACTCATGAGAGTCCTGAAACAAATATGCTGCCATCACTTAAACTTTGTGCATTAACTTGTCCAGTCCTAAATGCCATTAATTATGCTTTAAGCAGTATTAGCTGTCTTAGAGATACTTGCAAGGTCAGCTGAGGTTGCTGCTGTGAGGAAAGACTGCTTCCCTGAGTGCACGGAGTAAACCAGAAAGGAAGTCAGAGAGCAAATTAGCAGCTGATCCCATGTAGCTTCTGATGGGTAATACCTGTCTGCATTTAAAACCTCTGAAAGCCAGACAGAGGCCCAGGATAAAGACCATTTTTTGAATGTTTATCAAAACATAACAGACTTGCTAACATTGACCTCAGTGCATATCGAAGCAGTATTTTCCACCGTGTTGTTACCTGAGATTCATCCCAGCCTGTAAGGTAGATGTTATAGCTGAGAAACTCTGCATTATTCCTCTCCTGCATTTGAGCCTCCAAAGATTGCAAGAGGTCAGCAAACCATTCAAAGGCATGAGTATCCCTGCAAAGCCAGTAAAAATAAATCTGGAAGAGACAAGAGTGAGCTGTCAGGGGACACAGGCATTTATGGTTTCTGGTCTTATGTCTGCAGACAGAATGAGGATCGTAGAGTTCTTGTAGAAATTGCCCATATCACTTGAGTAGATGGGTAGGCTGGTATCAAAGCTATGCAAGAGTTTTGATGCTGGGAGGGTTGTGAAGCAGAATGAGCGACTGCAAGAACAAGGAAGCATCTATTTCTCTTCTGCCAGCAGGTTACATTTTTTAGTTCATTATGTTTCCCCACTTACATCCTTGTAAGACAGTTTGTTAGGACATAAATTAATGATTTAGAGGTGGACTCTATCTCCCCTGTCTGCTGTCAGGCAAGGTAAATTAAAACAGGTAACAAAACCAGTTCTGTTCTCTGAGTATAACCATAACTGCAGAGTGTGACCCCACACGTATGCACAGGGAGTTTCCAGGGGCAGGAGGGGAGGATGGTAGCAGTGCTCTTCCACTGACATAAAGTTGCTCCCTCTGTGCTTAGATGAAGAATGCAATATTTGCATGGGCTGTATTAGTGCCTTGGCCTTTGTGTTTCTCATGCAGATTGAACAACATCGCCACTGCAAGTGGAAACCCCCAGGGCCACGGTCAGGATTTGTGTGTGTGATTTTGCTCATAGACGTCTGCTTTCGTTATGGTTTCACCTTTGACCCTCCTGCTTCCCTGCCTTCTAGTATTGTGAGGTAACTGGACTCTTCTCGTAGGACTCACACATGTCTGCAGCCAGATCACCTTTGCTGGACCTGTTTTGGTTTGGGTTGTTGGTCCTTGAACAATTACATGGGTTCTAGAAAAGAGAACACATACCTTCTTGAGTTTTAGGTTGGTCGCATCATGGCAGTATTTGTACCAGACAGACTTGAGTACAGATGCAAAGGGGGTAACCCCTATTCCAGCTCCAACAAGCATAACAGTTTCATAACTGAATACATCCTCGCTCGCTGTTCCAAAGGGGCCATCCACAGCTATCCTGAAATTGAAAGTACACTTAATAAAACAGTAGTGGATATTTATTAACACCATTTAAAATCACAGTAAAAAGGTATTTGTCTGCTACAATGCACATCTGGACTGAATACTAGTCAGCAAAAGAAGAGGTGGGGTTGATAGGAAGAAACTGTAAAGAACCAGCTAAGGCCCACATCTATGATAGAAGTAGTTAAGGATTGTATCACAGGTGCCACCAAACTGGTTGAGAAAAACTCAGACCTTCAGAGGTGTTAGTTGACTTTATCATGGAGACTCTTTGTACATACTTGGGCAACTTCCATGCCTCCTGGAATTCTTGCTTATCACATCCACAGGCATTGAACAAGCCCTCTGTCCAGTCTCCTACTATACGGACATGAATGCTGAAGTAATCTTCTTCTGGAGCAGAGGTTAATGTAAATGGATGCCATTCCAGTTTAGACACTGCTGGACATTTGACAAAAATGTATTGCCCGACCTCCATCTTGAAGCCCTTCTTCATCATCTGGAGCTCAATTGTCTTGAAGGGATGAATGACCACCTACAGTGAGAGGGACAAGGGAAAAAGAGGGAAAAAGGCTGTCTTCCCCGTTCACTGGATGTATCTACATCCTCCATCACTAACATCATCCTCTGCTATGAGAGCAAGGCAAGCAGGTGAAACTCTGTTCCCAACAGAACTGGGAGTGAGAAACCGCACCTGACAGCCAGATGAGAGACTGCAGAAGATGCTGAATTTTTGGTTGGTATTTCTTCACACCACGCTTGTAGTCACTCCAGAAAGGACAGGTCAGACCAGTGCATCTTGTAACATGTCATCAGATCTATGTGTGCACATAGTTAATTCCAGATGCACCTTACACAGTGGCATGGAGCACAGTGTTAATGAATCTGACTGTATGTATAGGGGCAAAACCATAGGGCTATCATACAGATAGGGAATCGGATAGATAGTACCACTGGAAACTGATGCTTTTGTGTTATATCTGGGTGAGACCTATAATATGGGCATTTGCATTCTGCCTGTCTTTAGCCAAGAATAAATAGAAGCAATATTCTAGAAGGAAGGCTAGTATTTCTGTCACTATGATTTTTTAATCCTGAAGTTGTCTGCCAAGGTTATTTTCATTTTTTCCGGAGAGATTTGCAAGAGGGAGAATCAAGTCTCTATCTATTAATGTAGGTTTTAATAATAGTGCTTAGGATTGGGGAAGAAATTTTCTGCCAACACAGAACTAAGCAGACACCATAGACATATGGTGTAGAAATGGCTCAGAGATATTTTGGTTAAATTACCAAAAAGCACACTAGTATATGGGAGCCTTCCAATATGTCAACATCGTGCCAGGGCACAGTAGAAACATCTAACGTCATCCCCCAAACCCTGCTAGGATTTGAACAGGGTATGTCCACAAGATGCAGCACAGTGTCATGGGAGGAAATTACACCAGGAATTTTATAAGTTTGAGCTTAGTGCCATGCTGATTTGGTTGTCAGACTTTCAGAACCAGCGTTAACATCTCTGCAACACAACATGAGGAATGGAAGCTCAACATTCGCTTTGGCTGTACAAAATAAGCGCCTAGCTCTCCTTTTCGGGAGTTATTTGTTCTGCCAAAAAATCAGAATTCCTAAATATCTGGGCAGTTTTGAAAACAGTTTTGTATCTTATATTACTCTGAAGGCAGTGAAATTTCTACATTGTGGGATTTTTCTCTCAATACAAAGAAAAATAATTTCTCTTTCCTAAGGTTCAGTTCTGTGCCTTAGCTAACTTCCTCCTCTTGCTCTCTTCTAGAGGCAGGCTACATTTAGGTATTAGAGGTTAGTATAACAATAGCAGCCAGAACATTCTTTTCACTGATAACACTGTCAGTTGTTGTAGGAGCCACTGGCTTTGCTGCATCATTTGGAAAAATTGGTAATGTTTTGCCTGGTGTTAAGCGTAGTGTCAACACATACCTTTGTGATAACAACCTTCTGCTGTGACCTCCAAAACCGCACCAGCCTCTCACACAGGTACAAAAACATGGGACCTACTACCCACTTCCATGTCTGTAAACAGAATAAAATGAGGTCAGATGATGAAGATGTCAACTTAAATTAAGTCAAGTCCTGGAAATGCTATGAGCAGGTGTGAACTTCAAATAATGTAGGTTCTTTATCAACCAGAGTAGAGAACCCTTAAGAGATATGATATTTTCAAAATTATTTATGGTCACAGACGGAATTTCTTTATCTGTTGAGAGTAGCAGCTGGCTTTTTTGTTGCTACTAGAGTTACAGCAAGGCATTTTCCTATGAGGGATTTTGCCTCTGTCTAAAATTTAAGGTAACTAAGTGAAATGTGCAGTAAAGCTCTGAATGTATTACTGACTCAGGTCTGTATTACTGCAGAAAAAGATGTGGGTTTTTTTTAAAAGATCAGTGTGAAATGTGAACAACCAACCAGCCTGGTTAGTCAATAAAAGCTGAAGTTTCAATATCACATTTCCAGAGACATTAATTTTCTGTTAATGTTCATTAGTCTTTTAATAATGTGTAACTATTTATTATGTGGATTATAGCACTTTCTAGAAATCCCCAAAAGTCACAAAATACATTTTGAGTAAACAGTTGTCAGATACAATTTACTCTTTTCCTTTGCCTGTTAATTGTGCTCATTTCATGGCACACTGTAAGTGGGTTGTCTGTCCGTCTGTAGTCCATTTCTGTTTATAATCCATTGTGTTAAAATCTGTTGCTTTATGTAAAGAAAGCTGCTGTTGAAGAGCTTTGGGGGTTACATAGCTGCTTTTCTACAGCAAGTGCATACGTTATTTAACTAAAAGAGTAAACTGTAAACATTTTAAATTTGATTTATGCTCAAGACAACTGTTCTTACCATAGGAGGATTTCCTGAAAACTGGGGGATTGGGCAAGAACCCTTCTTTCCCCAGTGAGTGAAGTTCTTGTAGCATATCTCTGGATCATGTTCAGCCAGACTCTCAGCTGTCTGTCCCCGTACAATACGCCTGGAAAAAAAGTAAGAATCATTAAGGCAATGAAAAGAAAATGAATGTATCTGTCCCTTATTGTTATTCTATTTATGTACTGTATTTATGTGGAGTTGTGGACTTCTGCAGTGCTACAGCTTTGATACAGCTTTTTCTTTCTAATCAACCCACAGATTTGCTATTAAAGTAATAAAAATTGGGAGGAAAGTTTGTGGGAGAAAATACTGATGACAAGACTAGGCAAGGAACTGAGAAGTATGTCCGTTACCATTTTCAGGATGTGGTCACAGTAGGAAAGCTTAATTCTTTTCAGAGTTATCCTACCTTTTTCTTAAGTAAAAACAAAACCTGGAGTTTCCTACTGACCAGTACAGAAATTATTTCTGTTGTTTACCTTAGAAATTTGGAGAGCCCTTTCTAACATACATTCTTCCTTTGACACTTCCTCTCTCTTGGAAGCTGTGGAGCAGCTGTTCAGTTGGTGCGAATGAGCACAGACCCTTCTGACGCAAAGCAGCTATGCCAGCTATACCAGCTTGTGTCAGCTGATGGTCTGTATTCTTGCTTGGTTAGGGTTTGTTGTTGTAGCTACTGTTTGTTTTATTATAGAGACGTCTGACTGCTCCAGTTCAGCTTTATTTCCAGTGGCAGAGCTAGGGCTAAATGACAGTTTCAGTTCTGAGGGGGAGAAATATGTTCTGATCTTGTACACGATTTTCTGCCTCTGGAGTTCTGACAACCTCAGGGGTGTGTGAGTCCCAAAAATGTTGGTAATTAAGAGGATGAGGGTCATAGTAGAAAAATGCAGATTGAGATCTGACTTTCCCTAGAAACATTCTGATTCTGATCAGGCTGTTCAGTTTTATGCTGATATAATTCTGTTGACATCTTCCCATGACTTCTGCTTTTCTAGCTCAGTTGCTGTTAACTAGACTACATTTCTAATGTTTCAAAAAACCATGGTATCTAAGTCATATGTATGCCTATCTTTAAGTGACAGTTTATCAGAGGATTATTAGAAAGCCTGCGCACAGTTTTGAAAGTTAAAATATTGCACTGCTCATAAATATTACTAATTAACCTCTTCCTCATGAAAGATTTGATTAACATCCTGTCTGCAAAATAAAGGGAAGGAACGATACTGTCCCCAGGAGCATCACGAGTTGCAGTTTGCAGGAACATCACCAGTTGCATTTTACTTCCCCACCAATGACAATGGGCTCAGCTGAGCTGCACTCTGGGATGAGTTATGGGAACAGGAGGAGCCCATTTCCTCACCATGTTGCTTAACGGAAAATGGGCCTGGGGGGTTTGGCCTTGCCCTGTGCTCCATTCAAAGTCTGACAATGCCAGGACCCTGTACAAGATAAAGAAAGGACTTACTTTCCCTTACTATTCAGGGTAGATGCTCTTCTAGTACTGTAATTAAGCTTTCAGTAGTACAGCCTTATAATCCTTTTTCAGCTGAAAGGTTTACTTTAGCTTCCAAAGCAGGGTGATCTGCATCGCTGTACTCTCTCCTCTTTACATTTACTGTGATGGAAAGTTTGGGACATTTGTCTGACACACAGCTCATGCACAAAAAACAGTGCTACAAAAGTGCTGTAACAGCTTGTAACAGACGAGAATCTGCCCCTTTGCTTCTATTAATTATCTTTGGTTCGGTTTTCTGTATATACATGTATGTATGCATGTATATATACATATGTATGACACACAGCCTTCTGTCTCCTGAGATAAACTGACATCTATGCTCTCTCTAACATGTTGCTTTCAGACTGTCAGATCATACTTATTCCATAACATCCATCGTTTCACATCTACGATGTCTATCTTGAGTGTAAAAAGCCTGTACAATATTTTTTACTGTATTAGTATGACTCAAAATGTCATTCTTGCCTTTAAGACCAAGTAAGTGAGGCCAGAAAGCATCCGTCCCTTTACAGATAATAATATACCTATGTTTATCTCCTTTCAAAGGACATCTGAACTTCTCTAACAACCATGTTCAACCACACTGTTGCCCAGACTTTTGTCTTTTCAGTACAGTGCAATTAAAATGGTGGAAGTATACTGAACATCCAAGTGAAAAAACTTTTATGAATATATGTTCCTCACTGACCTCTAGAAAGAGCAGTGCTTGCTTTCTGATAGTATTGTGTAGTAATTACTGGCAAGTTTAGATATTTTTTCATAACTATAGAATATTTACTGCAAGAAACAGGAACCACTTGTTTTCCTTTAACAGATTTTGCTCAAACCTCCTTGTTTTGGAAGTTGGAATGGACAAATACACTGGTGGCGATTCTCATCTGCCTTCTATTTTTGTTCTTCCTGTTGCGGTCTCAATTCTGTCTTTTTTTCTGGCATTACTGGACTGAGAGGAAGTGTTTTTGAATAGTCATCTTTGCTGGGCATTTTTAAAGCCCACTTTCTAGTGCACCTAGAATTTCCTTTAAAATGGACAATATAGTATAATGATGAACTACAGAGACCTGGACAGGCTGGAGCCATGGGCTGAGCCCAACTGGAGGAGTTTCCATAAGGCCAAATGCCGGGGGCTGCCCTTGGGCCACAACAACCCCCAGCAGCGCTACAGGCTTGGGGAGGAGTGGCTGGAGAGCTGCCAGTCAGAGAGGGACCTGGGGGTGCTGATTGACAGCCGGCTGAACAGGAGCCAGCAGTGTGCCCAGGGGGCCAAGAAGGCCAATGGCATCCTGGCTTGTGTCAGCAATAGCGTGGCCAGCAGGGACAGGGAAGGGATCTGACCCCTGTACTCAGCACTGGTGAGGCCGCACCTCGATTCCTGTGTTCAGTTTTGGGCCCCTCACTACAAAAAGGACATTGAATGACTCGAGCGTGTCCAGAGAAGGGCAACGAAGATGGTGAAGGGTCTGGAGCACAGGTCGTACGGGGAGCAGCTGAGGGAACTGGGGGTGTTCAGTCTGGAGAAGAGGAGGCTGAGGGGAGACCTCATCGCCCTCTACAGCTACCTGAAAGGAGGCTGCAGAGAGCTGGGGATGAGTCTCTTTAACCAAGTAATAAGTGATAGGACAAGAGGGAATGGCCTCAAGTTGCGCCAAGGAAGGTTTAGACTAGATGTCAGGAAGCATTTCTTTCCAGAAGGGGTTGTCAGGCGTTGGAATGGGCTGCCCAGGGAGGTGGTGGAGTCCCCATCCCTGGAGGTGTTTAAGAGTCGGGTTGATGTAGCGCTGAGGGATATGGTGTAGTTGGGAACTGTCAGCGCTAAGTTAACAGTTGGAGTAAGTGCTCTTCAAGGTCCTTTCCAGTGTAGACAATTCTGTGATTCTGTGATTCTGTGAAATATGGCTTGGATACTTTAGCCTTTTTTTTTTTTTCTCTGTGGTTTTATAAAATGGAGCTAAAGTTCATTTTTCTAAGTGCTAAAATTGTGTTTGCACAGTGCTAGAATTGTTTCATTAGGCTTTCAGCTATTTCAGAAGGCATGGAATAAGCCAACAGTAGAAAAAAGATGTTTGGCGTTTGGAAGATACAAAAACTTATAGTTGCCTATATTTGAGCTGCAACTGCTAAAGATCTATTCTGAAATGCTGCTGATATTAAAAGTTAATCCCAGTCTAAAAGATAAATCTCTGTTATTATAGTATTCATTTGGCCAGTAAAATCCTGGGCTCTATATATGGTGCAGTCTCCTTACATGCATGTGTGTGATGCAATTCCTTCTAGGAGAGAAAGATAAATTAACAGTTAGAAACATGAACCTTAGAAGAGAGCTTTCCCATTAAAATAGCAGAAGTTGAGTATCAGTGAGCTTAGATATGCCAGAATCATGCATGTGAATAGCTTGTTGCATGTATCAGTGAGAACCTCTTTGCTCTCAGAGCCTGTACTGGCCCATCATTACTGTCAAAAATAACTGTTTGCTTAGTGACTTAAGTCCCTATATTTTTGTGTGTAGAGGGCTTTTAAGATACAGTATTTACCACATACTGTTAAGTGCAAATACTCACCCAGCACCATGGATGACCAGGCCAATAAAGAAGATGACAAAGAGGTGGTGGGTGTACCAAAATACTTCAAAATACGACCTTCGGATGGTTTTGGTAGATGATGTGATGATTAGTATGAGGGCCAGCGTGATGATAACGCCAGTGAGACCAGCCAAGTACGTGAAAGCCACATACAGGCCCCCCACAGGATTCTGTGAAATAATTGCACGTTAGTCTAAGGAAGGGGTTGCATCAAAGCAGAGCCAGCTGAACCATCAGTCCATCTCACTTGCCAAATCTTCTACCTTGCTGTAAGTCTTTAAGTCACCCTCTATGAATTTGCAAGCCAACAATGCCAAAATCCCACTCCATTATTGTTGTGCTGCAGATTTACTTGTACTAAAGGTAAGTGGAAACAGAGAAAAAGGGGTTTCCACTGATTCCCAGACCAAACATTTGTTTCTTACTCTGTCACTGCTCAGCAGTATGGGCTTGGGGAAAGTGAACACTTTTGCACAGCTCTGTTGTTACAACCATATTTAGGGAGCTAAATGAAAGCTCTCCTTTCCAGTGGTATTGTGCAGCTGTGGGTCTCATAATACATATGGAGGTCAGATGCTTGGTGTTTCTGAGGAAAGGGGAAGTTCCTTCTTCTGTTGTGGTTTTTTTAACCAGAGTTAAGGAGACCAGGTTCAAAACTTTTGCCTTGATTTCTGTGTACCTTTCTGTATGCCATGTTTAGCTTAGTCGGAAGACTTCTTTACAGGGTATTTGCTTTTATGTAATGTTTTAAAACTACTTTGAATTCCTGAGGTGAAAAAGTTTATACTACCAAAATTCAGCAACAATATTACTGACAAATACAGAAGAATGAATTGTGCAAAGTTTTGCTGCAAGATGTTCCAAACCCAGATTGTGCACACCAGAAATAGGCACTCTGCTCAGATTGTCTTATATGGTCATCTAAACAAATGTAATAGTGATTTTTCACAGCCTGATGTCACTTACCCCAATAGTTTTTCTAAAAAAGTTGACATAGCTTTCATTTGGGTTATCACCAAGGCTAGAAAGCACAGCTGCCAGAGTTCCTTTCTCTTCAACACGGGCTTCCACACTCCACTCTACATTGAATAAGTGTGCGATGGTGTGAATTGCTAGGAGTGACGGGAAAGAAAGAATCGGGATTAAGCACAAGAAAAGTACTCAGTGGTTTTGGGTAACGTTTTAAACATTGTAACATTTGTCAACTGCAGTTTAAGACCTTATCCACTTTCACCCTCTTCATCACAATTTCAGATCACCGATATGTTTTCCTCTTAAAACTTTACCATCTGAAGTTTACATCTTTTTGAGTGGGGGAAGGAAAGAAGTAAAGGGAAGAAGTTTCCAGCACATCTTTGTTCAACAAAGGCCTTCAGCAATTCAAGTGGGAGAGCAGTACCCTAATTTTATACCTGGGAAACTGAAGCATGGAATGGCTTAAATTATTGGTCAGAGACCATCCAGGAATTCTGTAGAAGAGCCAAAAAGTTAACCTGTATGTCTTTGGTGTCACATTTGCTAGTGCTGCTTTGCTCTGCTGTATTGCTAATAATCACTAATAATGTTCTTGCTTAGCTGGATGGATCCCATAAACCTCATAGAGCTGAGGTGCTTCACACTATTTCTACTACACATTACTGCAGGGGTAAGCTGTACAACACTTCTTAAATTTTTCCCTTTTTTAATTATCAGATATTTATTCACTTTAAAAACAGGGCCTGATGGGTACAGATCTCGCATCCCCTGAACAACTTGTCTCTGCTGCAGACCTCCCCTGCTACGTTAATTGCATCACCCTGCTCCTTTTCTATGAAGTGATTAGTGAGATTTCAGCCACAGCTCAGGAAGGGAACCTGCTCAGGTCAAGCAATCTACTGATACAAAGACTGTTCTAGGATATATGATTTTGTAAGGTACTTGCATTGAGAAGTAACAAATTTTATGAGGGGAAAAAAGATAAAACCCCCTTAGTTTAGAAAATGAGAGCTCAAATATGAAAACATTTCTACTGCCTGTCCAAGCTTTTTATATAATTTTCTTTCATCATTTCTATTATTTGATTCAGATGTGCCAGCTAAGAAATAAGGCTAGGCAAGAATTAAAGCCAGGGTATCCGATTCTCAGGACATTGCTAAACACCCTTTATTAACCAGTGTCACAGTGGTGCTAACGGTTCAAGAGAAAGGTATCTTTCTTATTTATATTTTGCTGTCTGCCAGCTGCAGAATAATATTTGGAAAATGATTTAAGCTTTGGCACATGCTGATTTCTTTAGGTTAATGACATAAGGTCTACTGCTCATATCCTTAAGAACTTGAATCCCACCTGAATACTGTGTAAAATGCATGAGAAAGCAATAAACAAAGAAACGTCTGAGCACCAACCAGTATGAAGGGCGATCATCCATGCCACCATTTTGTGAAAGGTGAGGTTCCTGTCCAGCTGTCGTCTGACACGGGTAGAGCAGCACTTTGGGTTTGAAGCAAAAAGTATTTAAAGATCATTTGTGATGTCTATGCATACTTATTGAAATGCAGGTAAAAAAACAGAGGCCCCGAGCACAATTAATGGCATTGCTGGTAAAGATTTAGAATTCCTAAATTTAGACAAAAATATTTCCCCCATACTTCAGAATTAAGAAGGACCAAAATATTCTCCCGGCTGTTTGCCAGACATTAACTTTGTAGATGGCAGGGTAAGGTAAAGTATCTTCTGAGCAGATAGCGTGAAGCTGATCATCCCACCCATCCAGGAGTGAAACAGAAGAAGGGATGATGAAACACCAGAACAATTTAATTTCTGATTTGTTCTTTACTTAGTAGAGATACTAGCAGTGGTCTTCCATACCAGTTCATTTCTAAATATCTCATGAGTATTAACTGTACAGATCAATAGATAGCAGGAAACAGTTCTTCAGTTATTCTACACCTGTGATACATTGATTAAAGGGCAAATTCTAACACACTGGGACTATTGCAAGACTTCAGTAGACTGTAACAACACCCAGGAGAAATTTGGCCTTCTCTGTATCATTTATCCTGAGACATAATTAAAAAGATTGTAGAATAAACTGTAGCATAGTGAGAAAGTGCCATCTCTGCTTGACTGCCTTGATCTTTATGTTTAAGAAGCAGAAGGCCAAGCGATGGCAAAATGCTGTAGCTAGATTCAGTAGTGAGGCTCATTAACAACAGCGGTGAATACAGCAATAAAAGGCATGCAAAGATGATATGGCTGTTCTTTCAGTTAATAACAAATAACATTGTAGTGTGTGATTTCTGGATGGCAGGATGTAAAGGGCAAGAGTTGCCAGCATATTCCTATTGAACAGTGGGTTTGAACAATTCTCCCCTCTCCTTAACCCCAGTGACATTGCTGTTGGAAAGGTCACAACCCTTTCGGTAAGCTATGTGACATTTTAAAATCCTGATTTTTCTTAAGAGATCCTCACAGGTGTTAGGTGCAGAGCAGGGCTAATTAGAGACAACAGCAGAACAAGCAGAAGCAGCTGTACCCCTGCACTAAGGCCAACACAGTCCTGATACCACCACTGGCACACGGGCTGTGCATGTTTTGCTTAAGATATAAAATTACCTCCTTCCTGAAGTATAGCTTCGTTGCAAAAAGCAACTGAAGTTAAACAAGCTCCAGCTGTCTGACAGTCCTATTTTATGCCCCTCCCTCACCTCCTCGCTCATCCTCAGAGACCTTTGCTTCCTCATACAGCCTAGCTCTATCAACAAGATAGCAAGCTGCAGGCAGGCAGCAGAAACGGAGCTGTAGCTCTCTGCATGGTTCTCACCTGCAAGCTGAGTGTAGCCTGAGTGAGACTGTATCACAGTGCCCAAGGCAGAAGGACTTACTTAGTCTGTAGCTTGGACACAGAGATAAGAGGGACACAGAGATAAGCTTTATTGGGATCCTGGTTAGAAAAGTCAAGCTGCAGGTGATAGGAGATGAGCAATTCAGGACAAGTAGCATAAAATCCTGACTGGAATAAAGTTCTTTGATTCCTTGGAATCAGTTTTTAGCCTTCCAGTACTCTCTCCAAAAGTATCTTCAGATCTTTCATTGCTTTGACCTCAGAAGACCTCTGCTTAACCTACTTTCTGCTCAACCTCTGTGGAATCTATTCCAGACCTCATGAAGGCTTTGTATGATTAAAGGTTCATTGATATTTTCCAGTTGCATTTATCCAATAGCAACATCAATTCTTACTAAATTTATGTTCATTATTGACTTCTGCATCCTGAGGACTCAGCTCTGAATTTCGGCAGATGCTAGTCGATCTTTCTCAGGGCGGGGAAAGAACAGCTTTAACCCTAGTTTTACTTACTATTCCTTTTCCTTTTACATATATGAGGGGTACAGCTGTCTGCTTTTGTAGCATCCCAGAATCTGAAGGGGTATAGCACAAGACTGAAAGCTGCTCTGTGTAGTTCCAGCTTTATATTCCTAAGTGTTATGCCTTAAAAAGGCCAGGGCACTGGCCTTAGTCCTAAATGTAATTTAGGATCTTAGTGTAGCGGACACATCTCATTTATTCAGCCACACAGACTGTCAGGATATATGTACTGTACAGGATATATGTAGGAGGTACAGCCTGGCTTGTCTCTGATTATTTTCTTACTAACGTGTATCCCACTCTCTTCTCCTATGAAGGACTCTTGAAACACTGCATCTACTTTGTTGCTTTCTCTTTTGCTCTCTTTTTCAGCTCCCTTGGGCTGTCTCATTTTTGTGAAAGAATTTATACTAGATTTACAGATGAAAACCAACTTCTGTGAACTGGTTTTGTTGACCATATGTATTTTAAAGTGGTTAGAAAAAAGGGAGGATTCATTATATATTTGGAAGTAGAGTTCATGAGCTTGAGAAGAATATTGCTTTTTCACTGCACCATGGCATGCATTGTCTGCATGATTTCTGCTGTAATAGCCAGAGATCTAGATTTCAGCAGTGTGATACAGTCAGTACTATCATAGGAAGCTTCTCCAGCTGTCACGTAGAATCAGTTGCCCTTTTCTTAGTGGTGGTTCCTTGGTGCTGTATGTAACATTTGCATTTGGGAGCTATAAATGGTGAAAAATCCTGTTAACTATTTCATCCTGAGATGGAAACACAGCTCAGACCAGACAGAATGTAATTTATGAACCAGCTGAAAAAACTCCCTTTCTGAAAGCCTATGAAAGACTACCTTTACTTTAAGAACTGAACATGCAAAGACAGAAGACATGGGCTAATATCTCCTGCTATAAATGGGTGTTGCACCAGTGACAAATAAAGCAAATATGTGTAAGCACCAGCTAGGGTTGCTGCCAGCCAGAGGGGCTTTGCATCCAGGGCAGCATGATGTCCAGGAGGCAAGAAAAAAGGGAAGACTCAAAGAAGGCTAATTCAAGGCTAAACCTCTCAACAGAGCTCTAGACACACCACTGGCATATAGTCCTGAGTCTTGCTCATAGCAAAACTCCAGGCTTATCTACTTCTTAAAAGAGGACATCCTCAAAGTACAGTATACTTGGGGAACTTGGACAAAGTTGCTTGGTATATTTGCAAGGCTGTTTGGTTTAGTATCTTTCATAAATTTTGAAATTCTTTCTTCATCTTACCGCACTTGATCCTCTGAGGAAGGAGAGCAAGTTTCGACATACTGGCAGAAGAATCAGCATGCAATTGAAATTCAGACAAGCTGCAGGGGCCCTTGCCAGAGCCAAAGCACGCTGTAATTGAAGAGATGCTGTTATTAAATCCATTACATAAGACATTATCCAAGACATCAATAGGCACAGATTTCATTTATGTATTATATCACAACTTTTCATGAGTGTGAGCTCTAGAATTAATTAACAATGTTCACATTTCAGTGTAGTCAGACACATATGCAGGCAGAACACATTCCTCCAGATAGACACCTTCTATATCCAGTTTTGAAATAATATGGCTGTGCAAAAAGCTCCCTGTTTTGTCTGACGTGGACAAGCACGGATGCAAGTGTAAGCCATTGGTAGAGTTGTCTGTCCCAAGGCTGTAAAGAAAGTCTCACTGCTGCGGTTTCAGTTGGCTGAGCGCTTATGCTGGACAGAAGGACAGCTTATGAGGGAAGTGGTTTTATGATATCTGTTGTCAGTATAAAGAGTCTAGGGAAGTGTTTTGCCTCATCTTTTAGGAATATGTTCCCTTAATGTTGTTCTTCACATTCTGAATGATTTCAGATTTTTGAACACTGTTTGAAAGGAGGGAATAATGAACATATTAATCCAAACACAGTGAAGGGAAGGAAAAGTCAATGCTTGCTCTCCTTGCACTGACTGGGACTCTTTCCGGTTTCAAATCAGTTACTGACTTGGGGTTACACTGAGCTTTAGTTATCTAAGCACAGGTCTCTGTGACTTCAAAGGCAACCGCACCAGGTTTGCAAAGGACAGACTTTGATCCACAGATCTGAAGCCATACGCAGAATAGGATTTCATGCTTTGTTGAATTAAACCATGGCTTTACAAACCTTTTACAAAGTGCTGTGTTCTGTAATTTGAAGCTTAGACTGATATTTAAGTCTGTGATCAGGCTTCTAGAATATGTGAACAAATTAATTTTCCCTGTCAGTTGGTCATGACCTGTGGTAGCTTTGGAAGCAGATCTGTAGTAGGGCACATAATGCTGCGTTAACCAGTTGGATTACACTGAATAGCCCAGGGTCCAGGGTCACTTCACTACTTAACTGCTATTCACATGCTGGATGACTATATGAATGATGATTGCTTTTCAGAGCTAATAGCTTTGTAAACTTTTCATGCTATGAAAAATAATTACAAGGTGAAATGACTGCACAATAGTTCCATGGCAATATTTTATTTCTCTTTTGCTTAATAAAGCAGCCACAATTTATGTTCACTTTAATTACCAGGAGCATAATAGTTACCTGAAAGCATCTTTAGAATGGGATCTCTCTATTTTGAGTAGCAGCTTTCTGTTCAGAAGCACTGGACACCTGTCTGCATTCAGTTACCTGTTTGCACATGACTGTTAACTCCTACATGAAGCTGCTGCTCCAGACACCCGATCCTGTTTCAATCAAATAAAACAAGGGAAATATGTTCTGTGCTCTGTCTATGCCAAGATAATGCATGTTTTGTACTTACGCCAAGGAGTACTCTGGTGTAGAAGAATTTTGGTGGGACATCATATACCAGATAGTACCACCAAAAGAGGAAGACGTTTAATCCCAGCCACACAAGCTGAAAGAGAAACGAACAGGAAGCTTTACAGTTTGTTGTTAGATATCATACATCTGAATTTACACAGTTCAGAGAATGGTCAATTAGTTCACTGTGCTCCTGTTTGCATGGAGAGGCATACTGTAGGGTATAAAGTGTTCAGCAGGGGTGATGATACATTTTTACAGTGGAAATGGGCTCTGATGTGTGCACACAAGAGTACAGTGGCAATAAACCAAAAATACAGCAATGGGTAGCTGAAAATTTTGCATCGCTCAAGGGGTTTAGCCATGATTATATAAGGACCATCATATTACAGCTGTTTAGCTAAGTCTCTGAGTCTAGTTGAATCTCCAAACATCATTAAAGGTTAGGGCCTCTTCCAAATGCCAGTTCATCAGACATACTAACCTATGTAAGAGGAAGACTTAAGAGCTGTACCAAAAAATGAAGAAGCTTGAGATCTAAGTATAGATGGCCTAAATAACAGGTAGGGCCTAACTGAGTAGGAGGCTCTGAAGGTCTGAAATCAGTCAGCATGAAATATTCAACACAGCCAGTTTGGTAGTGGTTACACTACCCAAAACTGGGCTTCTTTGTAGCTGTACTGCAGTATTCTCTCACACTTACACATCCTACAGTTCAGGTTTCTTTAGGGAAAGAGAAGTTATTAGCCCTTCTCAAAGCTATCTAAAGCAGCTACGAGCCCATCCAGCCAAAGAGATCATAGTGAATCTGGACATTTGCCCTCCTGGAGCTGGTTGACTGATTTCACATCCCATAGTGAAACCAATCTGTATCAGTGCACCCTCAGCCTAAGATTTACCGGGTGGTGCATGAAAACAGAGGAGAAAGTCTGAGAACTGGGAGAAAACCCAGTCTCTGGTTATAAATTAAGGATGCCAGAAACTGTGACATTACAATCCCTCACCCTTCCTAACCCATACGTTTTGCTAGTTCTTTGGCCCAGCTGACAGTGTAAAAAACTTGGGATTAGTTTAGACCTTGAAAATGTCTGATCGTTGTGGCATAAATACAGGGAAATGAAGGGATTTCCATCAGGGTAAGGCAGTATATGGGAAATCCCCCATTCCTCATTAAAAAACCAAGCCCATTTTAGGATTAAATGCTTTGGATATGTATTTAAAGTGAGAGTGCACCACTCCTATGTACAGTAGCCTGACAGCATGTCCAGAAGACCGAGATGTTTGTCATGACCCTTGATGGTCTCTCACAGTTCTTCTTGGTGTTGACCCACATGGAACATGGACCCTTTGAGAAGCACTGACACCCTCTGGGAATTTTGGTTTAGTGGCAGAGTTAGCATCCATCTGTGCTCTTTAGCTAGGGCCAGTGGAGGCAGCATAGGCTGGAGTTAAGGCTGGCATGTTTCTGGTTTTGTTGAGGTACATCAATAGAAATTGTGGCTGTCCTGTTTCTATCAAGCACTGGACTACCCTGTCCCTAGTCAGTGTGCAGTGTAGGGGACAATGCAGAACACTGCGTTAAGGCTTCCAGTGAACAGTCCTTTTAGCTGGTTTCTTTATCAGTGACTTTGTTAGTTTCCTTCCCTATTAGCTGCCCTTGTTAAAGCTTTGAGGCTCTAAACCCAAATTCCTTATTTGAACAAAATAAGGGCTTCTTACTTAATTCTATTAATATTTCTGTTCTGGTGGGGAAAAAAAAAACAAAAAGCCAGAATTCACCTCTTGGCAGTTTCAACTTTCTTAAGTCACTGAAGGTAACAGCAAACAGTTACTCCTTTTCAGTGTGCTGAAGTGCCAGGGTTATGTTCCTAAACTAGAGCTACACATCTTCAGTGTAATATCTAAATTTCAGTTGTTTACAGCAGAAGAAACACCTTTTTGAATAAAGATGTTCACATTTTAGTCACCACAAATATGTAAATCCTATGTCTTCTTTTTCTTCCTCTCAGTATTTACATCTACTAACCACACCTGGCAATGATACCTAAACTGGTATTACATTTTGGTGTTGTATATGGTTATATATATATGTAAATTGTAGAATTGTATACCTGTAGCTCTTTCATCACACTGAGAAGTGAAAAAAAGTGAAAACACTGAAATATTAACTTCTGTCTAAGTTTTCTCTGAGGAGGACTGCCCTCCTTTACTGCACTTTTAAATGCAACTGGGATTTTCAGTACTTTAATTTTTGCTCAGAATTAATTTAACCTACCTTCACAGCCACTTTGTGCAAGCTATATACAAACTCAATTCCAGTACTAGCCGTCTTAATAAAGGAATCATGAATCTCTGCTCTAAATTCTGGAATCTGACTCTAAAACAAATTTTATATCATCAAGACACTGTGCTTTCAGTTACAGCCACTTTTGTTTATAAAGGTGCAAGAAAGGGTAGTTGTAATTGTTTTCTCTGTTGAAGTACACATAGTTAAGTGAGATCATGTTTTCCTTAAGTCACTGTTGCATCCAAAACACCCAGACACTTAAATATTTCTAACAAATCAAATGAAAGTTAACACAAGATCATTTCTCAGTTGACAATGAAGCCTACAGCAATTGAGATACCAGACAGAGCTCCTTAAAAATTATTCTCTTGAAGCATTTCAGTGCACTTGCCGCCCTAGTTTCAGCATAATCAGATGCATCGTTCACTGGCACAGTGAGATCTGCTTAGTACAACTTTCAGTAGAACTTTTTACTAGACACAAATCACAATAAAGATTGTACTTACAACGACGAAGATGGACAGTCCTTCATTCTCCACCCAGTTACCCATGATTGCCTGAGACGAGTGTGCACAACAGCCCTGTTCTTTCTGGGACAGTGTCTATGTCTTCTCTCATAAGGAAGTGAGAGCAGAAGCTTGCAGCAACCTGTTTCCTTTCTCATTCATTTAGGAAATGTTAACCATTGAATCATGTCCATAGTTCTGTTTCAAACATGTTTCTGCCATCTTTATATATAACTTTTCGTGACTCAAATATATATAAACTGTTGAAATAATAGACTATGTTTTCCTTGTGACACAGGGAATAAAATAAATAACATAACTGGTCAGGTTTTCTGTTAAAAAATGTATTGCCACTTTATATAACTTTCAGTGCTGAAATGTAATACAGAATGTACAGAAGAGTTATCTCTTCCCAGCCTTGTCTTTTTTTACCCTCAAGTCTAAGTTGCTGTTCCTGCTGATCCTCTTTGATAAATAATCACTAGAAATATTTCTCTTCTATTCAATGTCCACAGAAGCTTCCAAATGTAATCTAACCTCCTTTTGTGTGGTACATTTGGGCCAAAACTGAGAACATGTACCACTAGATAGGCTATTTTTCATATTTTGCACTCCTGCAGAGTCCCCAGCCCCAGCAACCATGCCACTATATAAGAAAAACATTAAAGTGAGTGTTTTGCTTTTGTGATTAGAGGCAAAAATATGGGAAATTGACCAAATGTATTTGAGAGCTTATAAGACGGAGGATATTTATTCTGAGGGTTTTGTGTTTTTTTTAAAAAAAGGAGTTTAATGATTTCTCAATGTTTTGCCTCTGTGGTGTCACAATTCCCAAACCTGCAATAAAGAGTGCAAAATGGTAGTTTGGAGGAAGCTTTGGGATTAAGAGAGACAATTTTTTGGCAAGGTCCAGGCCCTAGAGAGGAGCAAGGCATCCAGACCTGCCTCCAGCTGGCCCAGTCTCCTGTGTATTCCACCCACTCAGTCACAGAAATACAGATCTTCTCCCAAAATGACTGACACAAACCTATCTCCTTTCCAAAGAGGTTAAGTGTATGTACGTATGGTGTCCTTGAAAGATCTTTTTAGGCTTTAGAAAGTAGCAGAAGGGCAGATTGAGTATTGGTATCTGTCTGCCAGAGCTGCGACACCCTTTTGGACCTTGCAGAATTTCATGGTTCTGAAAGCCTGAGCGAGCCCAGTATAGCCTTGCGCCATGCTAACAGCTTTACAGCACAGCAGCATCTTCCCAGGCCTGATCCTGCACCTACTGGACTAAACAGCAAGCTGCTTATTGCATTTGTATGAATGAAGGTTGCTCTCCAAAGTAAATGCGGATCTGATCTACAACTGAGAGCATGATGGTGAACTGCTAATGAGGGCAAGAGCTGGAGAGGGGATAAAACCTGTGTGACTCACATCCATCAGGAAAGTGACTCAGCACAGCCTACCTTACTCTGGACTCGCTTAGAAATGAGCTTTCTTAGGGCCTGATTCTGGCAGTGATGAGACACTTGGTCATGATGTAAAACTGAGGATGAGGGGAGCCAGGGCAAATACCTGTGCTCTGGCTAATGGCTCTCTTCCTGCCTCTACTTCAAACATACCACTGCCTTCATTAAATTTCTCCTGGAATACGACCTCTGTAAGGTGGCATAACGGACTTGAACAAAGATCCATTACAGAAGAAAAATCATACATTTCTACATTGTTTAAAAAAAAGTTGACAAACACAGCTATCTGAATGATAGAGGTGACTTCTCCATTATTATTCCTTCTTGAGATGTATAGAAGTAACAGCTCAAACATAGCTCAGGGACAAACAGCAGTCCTTCACCTCCTCATGTAGGCAGGACTGGCAGTGTTTTAATCTTCCTCCACAGAAGCCTCCCAACCTTCGTGACTGAAATCCAAAATGAAGTCTTCAAAACCTGTTAAATGGGGTTTGCAGCAACCTCGTTTGACAGGCTCTGTGATGGGCCAGGCTCTCACATGGTATCAGTTGCTTTGATGGCTGTCCCAAACAGATGTCAGCAGAGGGTCTGGTCCCCCATATTTTTGTTTATGGAGGTAGCCTTTGGGAGCTAAACAGCTAGAGTGGTTGGGAAAGGAAAGGAGGGAGGCAGTTCCGATATGGATTGCTGTGAAGACTAGCCCATTCTCCCTGCCCAGAAATGTCAGTACTCTTGCTGCCTTTCTTTTCCCTCTAGGCTAAGTAATTACAGCTCCTCTGGAGTGAGCAAGTGTGGGCATCCAGGGGGCTCTGAGCTTTGCCAGCCCTGCCTTGCCTGGCAGCTCCTCAGGCACCAGAGCCACTGAAACATGGATTTACTGGCTCAGGAGGTTTCTGGCAGGCCAAAAACCCAGCAGGGGCTGATGTTAGATCAGTCACAACAGTTGGAAAGTCTGAGGTCCTCTTACAGCCTGAATACAGGTCATGAATCAGAACATGTTTCAGCTGCTCCCAGCATAACAGTTACCAAATGCACATAGCTGATCTCACTGCCTGAACTCAAAAAAAGGGTAGGGGTGCTGGACCCTTCCACAGCTGGTGAGTTCTGGTGCTCCCTGATGTTTGTGATGGAACAACGCACAGCAACCTTTGTGTGGTTGCTGCAAGTGACGGGTGTGAGCAGAACTGGTATCAAAACCGCTCATGCGTCACCCCTGATTAATTCTGGTGCTTGCACCTCCTAAACAAGAGAAACATCTTTGTTGTAGTATTACTAAGACCAGCACGGTTTGTACTTTGGTCTAATTTGAAAAATGCATCATATACAAGAAGAGGCAACATTGGCAGCTGTGTATTAATTACGTAAAAGTGTGTAAAACTGGAGTATGGAAAACAATAAACACTATCACATTTTCTGTTTCTAAAATGTCTTTCAAGCTAGCTGATTATGCACAGCATTTTTCATCCTTCTTTACACTGAAAAGTTCAGTGAACAGTGATCCTTTTGCAGTATGACAGTTTTGCAAAAGTATTAATGTCTCAGGGTTATTCATTACCTTGCAGTAATTTTACTCTCTTGATTAGGAATTAATTTAGTTCTCCTGCTCTCTGCAATAATGTTCTGTGTATTCCTGCACAAATTTAATGCCAGACAGTTGCAATAGGCCTAGGTGTTTCACACCTCCCTCCTAAAAGGGACAATATAAAATTCTGCATCTATAAACCCCAAAAGAGAAAGTGATATGAAGAACAGAGTGAGAGACCCGGCTCCTGCACTGCTGAGGATGTTGCTGAGCTCCTTCCCATGTAGCAGGAGGAATGCCAAGGAGAGACCTTGATCAGCCTCTTTTATTTTGTAGGCTGAAATCTTTATTTTCAATGTCGTGCAATCCTTGTTTACCAACCTTACCTTGATTCTACATTAAAGAAGCAGACAAGAGACTTGTCAAACTCTCTTTCCTAAAGGGACTGCCTTCACACACAGCCTGAAGCTGTCACTGTATGCACTTGCCTTCACTCAAGGGAATGACAGTCTGAAACTTCTTTCTGTTTTGTTTACAAAATAAATGCTTCCACGCTGAGACATGGGCAGAAAAGTGAATAGATGTGAGCCAGGAAAAAAATGTCAGTGAGACCCCAGTAAGGAGTGCCAGATCCTTCTGTGTCTTTGCTTCACACTACAACCCTCAGTGTAGTTCCCTGCTCTGGTACTTCCTCACGCTGCCTTTTGCAATGATCATGAGACCCACGTGCTGTATTCAAAAAATCCATGTATGATCCAGGCCTTATGTGCCCTATCATCTTGGCTTGAAGTCAAACAGCACTGTCACAAACCAGGCCAGAATGGCTGTGCACTGCTGCGTTGTGGGAAGGAAGAGCCACCACCAACAATGTTACCCTAAGTATAGAGAGAAATTGCATTATATTAAGCTGGCAGTAGTTTCCAGGTAGAGCTGGAGTAAAGTTAGGAGAGCATAACCTCCCATGCATAAAGGCAGTGGCCAAAATAACTTGACTTCATGTGGGACTGAGGGAGAGGGAGCCCAGCTTGCAGCCTTTCAGCAGGTACCAGGATGCATGATCTGCTAGTCTGGCTCTGGAACTGGAACATAACTATCATCTATTTGCTTCTCCCTGTGTAGTGAGACTTCTCTTCCCATGGCTTCAGATCCACCCCCTTTATACATGCCTGTGACAGCCCGGGGTAACTCTTCTCTGCCTGGAGCAAGGGACTTCACCTCAACAGAGGTTGTTGACCACCCATTTTCCACCCAAGAAAACATCTCAAAAGATGTGAAAGGGAGGGCAGTTTTCTCCTATGCTCTTGCTGTGCATCGCCTAGAAGACTTTCAACGCAGACCTAACGAACAGATTTCAGCGGACGAGCTGCAGCTAGGGGGAATTCGGTGGCTCACCAGGCCGTGACCGCGGGAGGGCTGCATGCAGCGGCAGGCAATGCCACCCACTGGGCAGCACGGGCCACCCCAGGCGCAGCACCCGCAGCCGGGGCCCCGCATCGCTCATGGGGTACGGCTCAGCTGACAGAGACGAGCCCATTCTGTCCCAGACCTTCACACTGTACGCACCTGCCCTTGTGTCCACTTTTCTATTGCATTGCTGTTGAAAATCTCTTTCCTACTTTTCCCTCTTTCAGTGCTGGGCTGTCAAATCCCATTCCTAAATATCAGCTCACGATCACCGTCTGGGAAAGGACCTCCAGAGATTCATCATCCCACCTCCATGCTTCCAAATAGGCTCCACTAGAGCTGTGTCACTCTTGACACGTCTGCATCACCGCTCCCACAATTAGAAATGCGTGAGCTGCCTCACAGCCTGCTATAGCTGTGCTTTAGTAGCTCATGACCGAGTGTGCTGTGTGAAGAGGAGTAAATTTAAAAATGCATGAGAGGTGTGGTCTGCTCAGATGGTGTTAGGGGACTGGACCAGGCATTGGGGAGTGAGACCTGTGTGGCTCTGCACCTATTGCCTTTTCCAGCAGTCCCTGGACCGATTCGGGCAGTGAATCTCCCATGCTTTTCTTTGGGGAGAGACCTCATTGTTCTGCTCCCCAAAGGATCTTGGAGTAGCATGCAGGGTTGTGGGCAGTTGTATGGGATGAGGCAGGTTTTCCTTAGGTGTCTGTCGGGGCTCATTTTCATT